GCCATCAAGTACGATTATATCACTGGAATGTCTTTCAAATCACAATGACATCATTAACTATGATTATATCACTGGAATGTCCTTTAAATCACAATGACATCATTGAGTATGATTACATCACTGGAATATCTTTCAAATCACAATGACATCATTGAATATCATATCATATCACTGTCCATTGTATGACTTTGATATAATCACTGGATATAGTCCTCCAAATCTCGTGAAGATCATAGGCAAAGTCCTGAATCAATGAAGTTCAAATGATATGAATTTTGAAACACTTCCAAACATTAAATTTCAATTAGCAGACTCAACAACTGCTCTGAAAAGTCAATCTGCATTGGGCATATGTGGATCTATTGAGCAAAGTGCCTTGCATGAAATGTCAATAAAACATTAGCTTTTGTAACTTGCAAGTTAACCATAATCTGACCTGACTGTAACAAAGTCATACAAAGAGGAAGTTGATTGGAAAGTTGACCAATATTGTTGTCACATTATAATACAGATTTAAAAGGACGGGAAAGTTATTAAAACTCAATCAACTAACCCAGTTAAAGGCCGATGGAGGCTATAAAGGTATTGTTACTTCTTGAAGAATTAAGAAAATATTGTTTAGCACCAACATTTCATTTTAATGTTCAATAAAACCATACAAATTACAATATTCCACTGATAAGTTAAATCGAAAATGAATATTCAAGACTTCGTTCCACAAAATACCAATCACCACATATGAAGAAAACAATCTGGATGAAGTACATTATTTAACTACACATGCTGTAATTGTTTACAGAGATCAGCGTAATTATTCAATTCATTCTCTGCATCAGTACAACCCCCGCCCCCAACAAAAAACAAGATTAGAGTCTATTAAACATACAATGTATGTTTGCAGCTGTTACTTCAAAACAAGGTTCCTGTATTAAGCAGATTAATTCATCTAAAACTACATATTGAATCATATATTATTATTATTTGACAAATATGATATGATGACACCTGCTATGAAACATCAAGTATTGCACTCCAGTAATAAAATTAACAGGAAAAAAAGTAATTTTCAAATAATACCCATACTTCATATGTTCACAAATTACCTCCCTCTATAGAATACAGGGCATCTATTGTCTTATTTCATTTAACATTGCATCTCGGTGTTCAATGTTAGCAATGATCCAACTATGATTACTTGCAGGAACCAGTCATTGAACATGTAAATTCCCTTTCCCATGCATTTGTGTAGCATTTTATGTGGAGCATGTTGGGATACTATCACATTATGTGATGCATTCTGGGAAATTAAACCAGCAACATATCTGCTGCATGCTGGGAATCCATCAACGTATGTGGTGAATACTGGGAAACCATCGACATATTTATTGCATGCTGAGAATCCATCAACATATGTGCTGCATCCTGGGAAACCACCAACATCTACTGCATGCTGGGAAACCAACATCTGTACTGCATGCTAGGAATCCATCTACTCATGTGTTGCATGCTGGGAAACCATTGACATCTGTGTTGCATGCTGGGAACCATTAACATCTATGTTGCATGCTGGGAAACCATCAACATCCGTGTTGCATGCTAGGAAACCATCAACATCTGTGTTGCATGCTGGGAAACCATCAACATCTGTGTTGCATGCTGGGAAACCATCAACATCTATGTTGCATGCTGGGAAACCAACATCTGTGTTGCATGCTGGGAAACCATCAACTCATGTGCTATGAATGTGTAGCAGCGTTTTTTACCAACTCTGATAACGAATCATATTTGGGAATATCTGAACTTTTTATACCAAGATTATCCATCTGAAAAAAAGAAAACAGTATACACTTAGACTAATGTATATAAACTGTTAATGCTTTAGTAACATTTTGTTGCTATGCCAACTATGCTCTTTTCTTCAACTATCATCACTGAACATTAGCTCAGCTAAAATGCTAAGTATATACTTCCCTGACTCCACATAGCATAGCAAACCAACCCAACCCAACCACCATATTTCACATAACAGCATTAC